ATTTTCAGTACAAATCGGCAATTTCATACTTTAACCCCTATTATATTTACATTAGTTTTAATACCCTGTTCAACTTGACGACTGAAGCTTTGTGTGTAATACTGAATACGACAGAGGTGCTTTTTTAAATAGGACAAGCATTTTAAAATAAAAATTCCACATTTTTTAGTTGATATCCTGTTCATCTAAGGCAACGATATGTAATGTATAACAAAACATTTTCTGTCTACGTGTCTTCATAGATCGAGATGCGATTTAAACGTACAACCGTAACCATTTACACAGTTGATGGTTTTGTATAAGGTAACAAGTGTTTCCAAAGACACTTGTCTCTTAATTAGCCAAACATTAGCGAAAGTTGATCTCGGCAAACTTTACTTAGTTAGTCCGTTTGAGACCTACTTACGTTCATTAAGTAACTTGATGAATGCGCAACTTAGGCAAGGGTGTAATTCTGTGATAATATGAACGATCCTGTGCAATTAGCTGAAGTCTCTCGTATTTATTGAGGGTAATATTTGTCATTTCTGCGAACTTTTACAAGTTCTCTAGCAACAGTGTTAGATTCATTATGTAAAAGAATATTTGAATATAACGGTTTAGCTTCTAAAAAATTGCATTAAAGTGTCGTGATTCGAAAAACCTTTAAGTGACGAAAATACCTATGAATGTATTGAAAATTTTACTATTTTATCAGACATAACATCGCTTATATTTCTATATTTCGGGGAAGATAAGGCGTAAAAGTCAATTTTATCGAAAAATATCTATAGTTTAGGCGAAGAAATTAATTCATTATTAATATCAGTAGAGCTTGTAAAAGAGTACGTTCAGAGAAGTACCTGCCACTTTCCCTATTTCTGCCGTCCAACAGTAATATGAGCATTCGTTACGTTCCGATTTTGAAGGGTAAATAAAAGTGCTGGTGAAATTACAAGCACATGTGACTTGTCAATTTTATGTCTCAGAGTGACGAGCAGTAGTCACCCTCTGATCTTGTTATTTAACACTCTGAGTAGCACTGCGATCATTATAGACGTGTCGCTTACCACCATATGCACGACTGCTTGAAAATAATAGTAATTTTGTACAAAATATGAATGAATTAATGAATGAAATTTATTTGCTTAAAATATGGTTTACAATAGGTGGTACAAGTATACATAATAAAACAGTACTCATATTTTACCGCCGTCAACATATTGGCAGCTAAACAATTCTAAAGCAAGTCCTATCACAGTAAGTTATTGCCATGTCATGAAGATGTCAAAAAATATAAATACATTTCTTATCAAATAAGTTAAGTGGTCAAATTTATTGAGAATTTTAATTGAATATAATTTTTTTTCTCTTAGCCATGACATCAGCTGACCTTTAAATCGAAGATTATTATTTATCATTTTTATATCAGAGCGTAAAGCATTATATATCCTCACACACATGGCCCCGCACTGTTTCTGGTAGTAACTTAGTTTAGTATAACTATTACAAACTAATCTGTCTGGACCCCTTACATTTATATTGTGAATGTCTCGCGTTTTTTTTTAAGTTTATTATTATTTTTTACAAAATTGGATACTTGAAAGATGTACATACAAGGCAGCGGCAAGATGTTAAGATACTTAAATAATGAGTCAACCACTAAATAAGTGCGTTTGGAGATCTCATTATCATGTGCAGAATTAGTACACTTACTTTTATTAAAGATCGATGTCGTTACGTCCGAAAGGATTTCGGAGTAAGTACAACGTACCAAGTACGCGATGACTTAAGTAATGACTTTTGTTGCGGACGCGATATTCGTATATCGTATTTCGTGGTAAACCTCCTGTTTCGTTTTCTTATGACTTCGCGTGCGTTTTACTTTATACGATTGTTTTTTTTATTCTATTAATTATCTATTCCCGTCTTTAATGAAAGTATTTTTTCGGGTATAAAAAATAGTTTATTGTATATAGTAATTTCCAATGTGTGCCGACTGCGAAAACCCAAGAACTTGAATATGGACTTTACCATTAACCATGATCCATTTTACACTATTTCCGAATGTGGTAAAATAAACACGACTCCATTTAAAAGTAATAATGAGTAATATGATATTAAGTTCATTGAACATTCTATGTGTTACTACCATGATTATCAATTATTTTTTTGTGAAATTATTCTGCCAGTTTGCTATAATTATAAATACAAAGATCGAATACAATAAAAAATCCTTCGATCTGCTGGATTCGAACCGGAGCGCCTTCAGCATATCGGACCTGACGCTCTCCCAACTAAGCTACGGAACAAACCAATAAACCTTACGCATTTTTCTATGTGCTTGTTGCGTATCTTTCTTTTTGGTTTTTACGACTTTTTTGTTATGTTTGTTACGCGATAACTCATTTGTGAACCGATTTTGATAATTCTTTTTTTATTGGACAGAGGCTACCTCAGTATTGGTCTATTTAAATTTGAAGGAAATATTCCATCTTTAGGGGTGGCAAACTAAGGGATGAATCCGGTTCCGCGCACTTTCCGGTAACCGATTTCAATAAAACTTAGCAAAAATATATGTCATTCCACAAAATTTTGCGGTCGTTTTTTTTATATAAAAAACTTACAATTATTTCAGATGCTGGTCTGGATATGGTCAGTTTGCCTCTTGACTGCAATATATCTCTACTTCCGGCAAGTTTATGGCTTCTTTAAAAAGCGAGGTGTGAAGACAACGGGAATAATTCCACCTTTCGGCACTATATGGAGCGTTTTGGCACGGCGAGAGCATATTAGTGACCAAATTATCAGGACCTATAACCAATTTTCAGACCAGAGGTAAGTACAAGCAAGGCGTAGGAAATTGTGCTTATCAAAATCTTTAGCCAGTGTGCCCTATGTTTTATTCGTCGTAGTATTAGAAATACAGCGATCATTACGTACCTAATAATTCATCAAATTATACTTTCTTAGTAAATGTTTAAAGATATCGCTCTACACGGTGATAACTCTGTGCGGTAACAAACAAAAGTCAAATACTACCAGTCCAATGCAAAACGCCGGGGCCGGGTTGAAGGTCGTTCTACCATATACAGATATAAAAATGTCAAAATAACAAATACTTAAAAGTTTATTTTTGATACATTGAAGGTAGCTTAACTTTTTAAATTAGAAATTACGACCAATATTTTATAAAGATTTCGATTGTTTAACATTACGATAGTGTGTGTTTTGGCGATAACGGTTCTTGTAGTAATCGAGGCTTAACGCCTTTCCATTGTTTGTTTATTCCATGGTAAAAAGTAATAATAATAAATAATTTTATTTGCGAAAACACAGTTTATGAAGAAATGTAAAAAATGTGAAAAATAAATATAGTTTCATTGTGGCCGGCTAAACATTAGGCATGCAAATATTGAAGGTATAATAATACATTTACTCCCATACACTTCGGCCCATATATGGCCACATATGAATTTAATAAGTCGGTCAGAATTTGAACGCGATGATTGTTATATGGGTCAATTTTAACTGTAACTGTATGTCAAAATAATATCGTATTATGAATCATGTCAATAACGTCAAATGTCAAAAGTTAGGAAATACATTTCGGGATTCATAATTTAAAAATTCCATTGAGTATAATTATAACCAGAAATAGAGACGGAATAAGGGCCATCCATCACTGGCAAGTCATGCAAATGGGCCTTATATCACTTTTAAATATCAACTCTTGTTTGCCCTGAAATCACAAGTTAGAAAGGTGAAATAGTACAGCGCCAATAATTGACCTGTGTGCACGTCCCCGTATATTCCAAAAATATTCTGTATTTATTGTAATAAAGATAATACCTCTAACAATGGGGGTTCCATTCGGTGGTGTGGGAAAAACTGCAAAATATCTAATTACAAAACAAACGGAATCACACTTCATCGGTAATTAAATATGTAATTTTTCAATTTTCGTCCATTAAAACAAAGCTCAAGTTCAACTAGTCTATTTGAAGTGAAACAATTGACAACAACCGTCAATTGTTTCGAATTCGGGCTGGCCAATCGGATCGCAGTTGTCGCAGTAATGATATGGCAGAATAGTTTTCAAACAAATTAAATTCGGAGAATGTGTAGTGCATTTTATTAATCAAGAAATATTGTTTAATTTTTTTAAAGTTAATGTATTTGTACAAGTAAAAATCATGGAGCAAAAAATGTTGTTTATGACGTTAGGAATATAGTTCTGTGAGGGTGTTAGTATTTTACAAATAACCATGAACACTCAACACTCCTAAATATAGTATGGTTTTGTCTTTTAATTAAATTTTTATTGAATTGATATTCAATTATTTTTTGTGAAATTACTCCACTAGTTTGTTAAAATTATTAATACAAAGATCGAACACTCAGAAAAAACACTCAAAAAAAATTCCTTCGATCCGGTCGGATTCGAACCGAACGTCTTCTTGTATACCGTGCCAGACGCTATACCAACTAAGCCACGGAACGAACCAACGGACCTCACGAATTTTTCTATGTGCTTGCGTCGTGTCGGCATGCATATGTTAAAAGTTAAATAAATGGTTAGATGGAATAAGAAGGGCTATCCGACTTCTCTATGACGTGTACATTTCAAATAGATAATTACCTATTAACGTGCCAATAAAATATATAACAAACAAACAGTCAACTACACTAACCCATTATGTTGTGCCTGCTATGTCACGACAAGAACATCTAGATGTTTTAAAATTAGGAAGTACCGCTTATTATACCTACGGCCTTTATTAGCCGTAATAAGACATAGGCGCCGCTTGAGTCGTATAAAGGATTAGTCACGTCTATTTTAAACTCTGTTCTAACATTGTAACGGACGTACGGTATACTCAGCTTAACACATTGCACCTTCATTTATTCGTGGCATAGAGTTCAGATTTGAGTAAAGTTTAGCGTGCTGTTAAGTATAAAGTGTAAAGGAAGTATAAAGGATAGTGTAAAGGAAGATTTTATTATAGTTAAGTTAAAAGACAAAACACTTAGAAAAAATTCCTTCGATCCGGTCGGATTCGAACCGACGTCTTCTTGCATACCGTGCTAGACGCTATACCAACTAAGCCACGGAACGAACCAACAGACCTCACGAATTTTTCTCTGTGCTTGCGTCGTGTCTTTGTATTTGGTTTTTCGACGACTTTTTAGTCGTAGCGCCATCTATGGGAAATCGATGGAAGATTTATCACCCAGTTAGTACCTTTACAGCTACCAGTCCTGGCGAGAGATGTCGCTATTCACTGTATTAATTAAATTTTTATTGAATTGATATTCAATTATTTTTTGTGAAATTACTCCACTAGTTTGTTATAATTATTATATAATTATTAATACAAAGATCGAACACTCAGAAAAAAATCCTTCAACCCGGTAGGATTCGAACCGACGTCTTCTTGCATACCGTGCTAGACGCTATACCAACAAAGCCACGGAACGAACCAACGGACCTCATGAATTTTTCTATGTGCTTGCATCGTGTCTTTGTATTTGGTTTTTCAACGACTTTTTAGTCGTAGCGCCATGAAATCAACGGATGTGCGATATCAATAAAAATTTATAATATCAATTCAATAAAAATTTTATAAATAAAACAGTTGCCAAATCAATTAACAATACTTCAAGAAATATTTTTACCGATGGCTTTGAAGAAGATCATTTATGACATATAACAATTAATAGTGATTGTTTTCATCAAAGTTTACAATCAAAAGTATAATTACATTGTGCAGTCGGTGTCTCTAATCTAAAAGGTCAAAATAATAAAAATAGTATTATCACTAGTTACGTGTTCCTCGCCACGTTATGACGTTTTTTATTATCCCGATACACGCTCCAAAAATATGGGAAGAAACCAGTAGCTGGTGACAATAATTTAGTAAAACACCACGAAATTCCTAAAACCCTTAAAACTGCTGAATCGTAATCTTCTTCTTATTTCATCATTATAATACCAAACTACACACATCTTTACAAAGCCGTCAAAAGCCATTGTAATTAAGATTGAGACATGTTAACTCTTGCGCCGTATTTGTCCGATGTAGCCCTTCAGACTTCCACAAGTTTAGGTGTTTACAAAAATCTTTGACTGGACACGACTCTGATAACGAACAGACCATCAAATGACTTAACGCTGTGTTTTCTAAGTAAAGACGTAATTTTTCATTAATTATCCAAAAGATTAAAATTTAAGACTTATGTTTTCAAATGTTTTTCATTTATACCTTGATGCAGCATAAATGTTTTAAGGTTTCCATGTGAAGAACATTAACGCATGTATGAAATGTAAAAGATATTGTTATATATCCTATATCTTCCATGAGTTTAGTGAAATTTGTCTTCACTTACGAAAGTTACTAAAAGCTTTCAATATAATATTTACAATAATAGAATTATTTTATTAGGTTCTACGGTTCGTTCCAATTAGTGAAGCCGTTGGTACAGGTGAGGGATATCGAGCTGATCAAAAATATTAGTATCAAGGACCTCGAGCATTTCCTCGACCATAACCAATTCCTCAACACAGAGATCGAACCGGTTTTTGGAAGAAATCTTTTCGCTTTAACAGGTAACGATAGTTGTGTGTAATGTTGCCGTTACTGCTGCAAATAGAACTCGACTAAATGTCTTCCCAGTTACAATTTTTTCTAAAAACATTTATTATCTCATTCTCAACTACTCGCTTATTTTGATTTAGCAGGTGAGTTGGCAATCATGTAATAAATCACAAATATCATTACGATATGAAGTAAAAGATTCAAGTGTAATCTGAAGGAGACACAATGCCACGTTGGCTTTTGGTGTCGTATAAAAGTGTACAAAAAGTATCAGCTTCAATTTGACCATCAGGACAAGAATGGAAGGACATGCGATCGACCCTCAGCCCTGCTTTCACCAGCTCCAAAATGAAAATGATGCTGCCACTGATGGTGGAGGTCGGAGATCAGATAATTGTACCGCTTGAGAAAAATATCCAGGCATCTGAACGTAAATAGATTTTGAGTATTTATACCATAAAACCAAAACATTCCGTGATGATAGACGTGCATGTTCGTGGGTGTTTGTTTCGCTATTTAATGCAATAATTGTTAGATAATTGATGGGAACAATTGACAGATAAAGAAAGTGTTACAAAAGGGTCTAATTTTTTTCGACTTTCCATACAAATTTATCGATGATTTAGCACAAAATGATATATAGCAGGTGAAAGCTGTGATAATGGTTTGACTTACCGTCTCTGAAATAGAGGCCGTTGATTTCAATCCGGGCTCGCAACTTATGTGTGAAATTTAATTGGAAATTTAACATGAGCTTTTCGGTGAACGAAAATATCGTGATGAAACGTACACGTCGACGACTTCTATGGCCTAAACCCTCGCTGGAGAGGAGACTCTTGCCCAGCAGTGGAACGTAAAAACGGGTTAATGATGATAATGATGTTTGAATTACCTGTGTTTGCGTTTTTATAGTTCCTTTTATTTACAGAAGGTTATTTGGATGTGGATGTGAAAGACCTAATGACCAGATACGCGAATGACGTAATTGCATCTTGTGCCTTTGGCCTGAAGGTGAATTCTTACGTGGACGAAAACAACCAGTTTTACGCGATGGGAAAAATCCTTTCTAATATTTCTTTGCGTCAAATTTGTTTGCTTTTCTTGGCGCTTTGTTTTCCGAAGGTCATTAGAGTGAGTATCTTTAGTCCTTCCTTAATCGTATCCCGATAATCTTTACAACGACGTATCCGAAGAATTTTTCATGAATCTTATAAAAACCACCTACAAGGACCGTGTAGTATAAACAAATGTATTATTATATAAAGATATTCATGAACATTTGTTACCTATTTTTGTTTCTATAATACAACTCCATGCAGACAAAACCGACTTCATGCAGTCGAAATCGACTGGGCGCAATCGACATTAACTGCAGGCAATTTTCGCCACGCGTTTAGCTCAGGAGCTCAGTGTAAAAGTTGACTTCGAGATGGAAGCACGGACGCTACTTCTGTTGTAATTGGAGCCAAAAACAAAAGCGAGCTATAGAGAAGGTGATTTTTATATACTGTACCCGAAATTAAGACAAGATGAAAACAAATTTTCAAGTACTTTAAAATGTCGATTGCTACATTTGATAAATTAAATGATACATTAAAAGCATCACTTTCTCATCAGAAATAAATATCCTTGTAAGAAAGTCAACTACAACTACTTTTGATCGGACTCTCGGACTATCATACACACCGACGCTCGAAGTCGATGTCTCAACTGCATGGAATTGAGTTTCAACTGCATGCATGCATAAAGTTGGTTACGACTTCACGCATTAACTGCAAAAATGCATTCAATCTGTTAGCAGCCTTAACGCTTTTCCATGAAATGACAAACGACATCACATTCCGTATATTTTGTGTTGTGTGTTTCACGTTGATGTTTACATTATTCTCCAGTGTCCATCATGGCGCTGTCGCCCGGTTTTTTATTGTGATAGGTAAATCATTATGTAGCAACCTATAAATTTCAATTATATAATAATAAAATATATATTCAATTATATTTTCAGACATTAAAATTGACTCTGTTCCCCAAGGCGGTAGAGAACTTCTACAGGACGCTGGTGACGGAAACGATGCAAACCAGGGAGTTAAAAAACATCGTTCGGCCTGACATGATACATCTGCTAATGGAAGCTAAGAAAGGTTTTCTTTATTCGCTAGTTCATCGGTATTGATAAATATAGTAACTGGTTAATTTGCCAAGCGCGTGTTTTATAACATCTGTTTGTAATAAGAGTGAGCCCGCCTATTACGTCATCTCAAATTGTGTTCGGACCGAGGCTGAGAGGCTCCGGCTGGGCATCAAATTCGACTAAGTGTGAATATTATGTACCAGCATACTGGTACAAAAATGTAATTACTCAGTACTCGTGTATTAATTTCTATGTAGTGTGTTTCTTTTTTAACTTATTGTTGCTGTTACATTTCCATGGGAATAATAAATTTTGGTTTAAGATATTTATTTCTCAAAACAATACAAATTCACTTAGCGAGAAATACAAGGTATTATAATAATTTCTACAGAGAGTCGTGTCGACAAAATATTGAAATGAAGGTATATTACGGAAAAAAGTATTTATGTGGTCTGTGAAGTATTCAAATAAAATTTCGTGTTCTAGTATAATAAGAAAAAAAACAAAAGCAGGATCGTAACCAAATACATATTTTAAATCAATTGCCATGGTGACAATAGTAATTACATAAATAAGTAAAAATATCAAATCTGCCAGAAATTCCTCATAATGTGGAAATTAAATTTATTTTACAATAATTGGAATGATTGTACTTCCTTAATATCTTTCGGTAATTTGTTGCATATTTAGCTCCTTCGTGTATTATGTTTTTCTTTCCATAATTCCGTAGTAAACCATCTAATAGGTAATTAAAAAAATTGCTGCTAGCTCCTCTACCAGCTATTCGGGTTAGTAGCAGATATGTCAGTTGAAGTATCCAGTAACAATGTTCGGACATAGCTTCCAACTCAAGTGGGCAACTCACTTGTCCCGCGTGTCTCCTCGCCTTAGACCCTCGTCTAAACCGCTATTAAGACGCGCTAGCTGCGCACGAGACGACCCGGCAACACACCACCGGAGCAGACGAACATGTCCGTGTCTGCTGCTAACACAAGAGTTCACACTCAGAGTCCGGGACGTATCACTGGCGGAGGGCTAGGCCGGACGTCCGCCGTACCCTGGTCTTATCGGGAAATCCGTAGTCTCCTCGTAACTCTATCTCTCGGCTCGGTAGACATGGAGAAAATACAAAGTGTAAAGTACAGTAAATAAAGAAAAAAGAGCTGTGATTTAAAAAAGTCATAACAAACCGCAGTCGTCGGCTAACTTATAGGAGCTAGGAAAATTAATACCAAACATATGTACAAAAAATAGGAAGATATTCAAGCTAGCTGCTAGCTACCGACTTATTAACAAAATGACAAATAATACTACGAAGAATTTTTGTTATCAATCGCGTTTGACTATTTTTACACACGTCGTACAAATTTTTTACTCTACAGGAAAATTGACGTACGATGAAAAATCAAGCCATGTCAAGGATGCTGGCTTTGCCACCGTCAAAGAATCGTCTGTTGGTCAGAAGAAAATCACCAGAGGTACGTAATATTAAAATAGGAGTAACTTTTTCTGAAATGGTGTCTGAAATTAGTGATGTAAAAGACCTCTGCTTCGGCTTCTGCAACTGCGGTAGCTCCGCACGCTTTTTCACATCTGTTTCCATTTCTGCTTTCTCAACTTTTATAACTGAACTGTTATTGGACGTTTAAAACTTTAACGATGGATCGGGCGTGGGCGCGTGCTCGCACGTTTCCGCTACTTTTCACATGGTATTTTCGTTTCTGTTTCTGTTATGACACTTTCGTTGTATCATTATCTGAAATGAATAAAACGATATTTATCATCATCATCAGCTTACATGCATCCACTGCTGGACATAAGCCTTCCCTAGAGCACGCCAACTCTCCCGGTCTTGTGCCGCCCGCATCCAGCCGCTGCCGGCCACCTTGCTAAGGTCGTCGGACCATCTTGTCGCAGAGCGTCACACACTACGTTTTCCTTGACGTGACCGCTATACCAGAACAAGTCTGCTCCATCGGCGATCAACCCTCCTGCAGACAGGAGGTAGTAAAAGATACTAATAAACTGTTTCGATGTTTTCATTCATTCAGGAGCAAAAAAATTATATTCAAAAAACAATGGCGAACTCCCATACCAATTCTTGTTGTTCCAATTTTCTTTGCACCTATAATATTATGAAAACCATGTATCAGTATAAATTCAACGAATTGGTCTTGAGTTTACTATTTGACAAATTTGAATTAAAGGTACTCCGTTTTTTAAAATTTTTATTGTATTGATATTCAATTATTTTTTGTGAAATTATTCCACTAGTTTGTTATAATTATTAATACAAAGATCGAACACTCAGAAAAAATTCCTTCGATCCGGCCGGATTCGAACCGACGTCTTCTAGCACACCATGCCAGACGCTATAATAACTAAGCCACGGAACGAACCAGCGGACCTCACGAATTTTTGTATGCGCTTGTATTTGGTTTTTCACACGAGTTTTTAATCGTAGCGCCATCTACGAGAAATCTATGAAAGTTTTATCACCCAGTTAGATATCTTAACAGCAACCGGCCATGGCGAGAGATGTCGTTACTTAGTTTGTCAAGGCAAGGACCTTTAAAGATGTTTTTTTCAAACAAATTTTTTATTATTATTCTCTTTAGTATGGTCCAACGACGACTTGTGCGCCCAAGCCATTCTGTTTTTCGCCGCTGGTTTCGAGAGCGTATCTTCTACAATGTCTTTTCTGCTGTACGAGCTGGCTATCAATCCTGATAAGCAAAAGAAGCTGTACCAGGAAATTAAAGAGAACGAGGTCAAAAACAACGGGAAATTTGACTATACTTCTATACAGAATATGATTTATATGGACATGGTGGTCTCTGGTAAGGGCATGAAGACGAACTTTCTTATTATTCTTTAAAATAATCTCAATAATAATGAACCTCGAAAGTCAACCTTAGTAACCCTTGACTTTTAAATAGGGTGTAATTACGTATTTTTCTGTAACTGAGTTTTCACTTGATTGTTTGCCTAAATATGTTTTATTTTTCAGTAATTCATTACTTAGTATGTTACCATGGACCTATAGCTTCTACAGACTGCTAATCTCGTTATACGAAATCGTAGTTGAGTATTTAATGACTATTGGGTACACCAGATGTCGCCACGAGTACCAAATAGCTATTTTTACATATAATTTGTTTTAGACTGACGAGCTGCAATTTATCAAAGATAATTTGTAACAAACAAATCAACTAGATGGCGCTAATTTTATGAAATTAGACATTCTTATGGACACTACCGCCTTCAATTTAATTTTGTTTAGGAATAGCGCCATCTACCCATGTAAGCAATGTAAGCAAGCGTTAATTTTTAAATACACAAAGCCATCTATTTGTGAAAGTTCAAAAAATAATTTTAGTTCATTACAAGGAAAAATACACTGCTTCATATTAAAGAGGAATTAATAGATATCTACGGCTATGTGTATAATATAAACTATTTTTAGGCTATTGGTTCATCGCCATCTAGATATAAGACGGGATTTTGTCCTTTTTCAGAGTTACAATCTGTAGTATGAAGATTAGCAGTCCCGTCCGAAATGACATTTTCCAGAAATAATGTTTGCTCGAATTTTCATAACCTCGAAAGTAATTTTGAGAGGAAAATGTTTTTTCCTTTAAACCTTTTTTTTTTTTTTTTTTTTTAATCCGGGGGAATCTGCTTACAGATACCCCGGCCCCGCGGGGGCAGAGCCGGGGTTATGTGGGACTGGGCTGAACCCTGAAGGGGAGCAGTCCGACCGCACTAAACCCCCGGAGTGTTCCTCCTCTCCGCTGTAGGTGGGGGTACGGGTACGCTGTTGCACTCGTCCGCGCCCCCACCAGCGGCTGGCCGCGCCCTGCGCAGCCGAACACCAGACGAGCCTTCCATCCCGGGCCCCTTTATGCTGGGCAACGAACTCCCCCGAGTCCGCTACCCAGGGGCCATGGGGGGCCAGGACAGCATCCACTCAACTGTGAAGTTCAGTGGCTGCTCCCCCAGCCCCCGCGGCGGATCTGATGACAGGCTCCGCCGCAACACCTAACGCGCTTCCGCGCGGACTCTCCGATGAGAGTCCCTCGGAGCGCCCACCACGGGCCAACCGCCCACGTTCGGCCGCGGAGGATAGGACGAGCGGCAACGACACACCGACACGTCTCTTCCCCCGCGGCCCCGCCGCCACTGCATCATTAAAAGCGGTGCAGCCCCGCTAGGGTCGCGGAGGACAGGACGAGCGGCAACGACACACCGACACGTCTCTCCCCCCGCGACCCTCCTCCTCGCGAAATCCGCGCGGTCTCCCGCTGGCCAAACGAGCCCCGCGCGGAAAGCCCTCCTCCTCGGGCCAGCCTAGCACCATCGGCCGGCCCCGTGGGTTCCTCTTAGCTTCACCGTGGGATGAAATCGACCACGGCTACTATAGCCCCCCCGCCACGACAAGGCCGGAACCCCTTCGGGGGGGTTTTCCTTTAAACCTAACTTAACCTAACCTAACCGAACCTAATCGTGTCTTTGCGATAAACATCCAACATATCCTGAAAGAACGACTGTTTGATTATAATTTGGTTTTCGGTGTAATGAAAATTCGAACAAACGTTATTTCGGAAATAAAATTCGACTTTGTGATAGGTTACCGCTGCAGCTAAGCCACCACAGTTGCAACGTCATTGTCGTGACCTACGCGCGTGACTTTTGCAGTCACAATTAGTGAACTAAAAGTTACTAACGCGCTACAAACGCGATGCTTTCGTGCCACAGTCGCACCATTGCAACGTTTCTACACGCTTTCAATTTGAAGCCGCGTATAATATAGTAAGCGCGTTATATTTCATAGCGTAAACGCTATGAATCCAAGTGTCCATAAGAAATTATTGTTATTATATAATATCAAATGGTCATGTACTTTTTGAAAAGTATGGACTTGGCAATTTTTAACTAACCGACAAATTTAATATGGCAGTCCTGTTATTATAATAAAATTTGTGACAAATTTAAAACGTTGACCAAAAGTCAGTCTAAATAGGAAAGGTAAACAATTTCTTACTAAATATTTTGTATTTCAGAAATATTAAGATTATATCCGCCCAGCATTATCTTAGATAGATGCTGTACCAATAACTACAATTTGGGCAAACCTAACGACTATGCCACTGAGGACTACATTGTAAGTGTTTAAAGGCAAACTGCCTTTATTTAATTAAACGAAATTTATTAGAAATCATAGGCATATTTTCAACTCGTCGAAAAATTCCCCTGAGAAAAAACAAGCAGAAAATTAGAATGGTTGTAATTTTTCCACCATGAAGCACTTTGTATGGAACTATAACAATAATATTATTCCAGTCATCTTTACCTGGTGTACTGTTTAAATATCGTGTACAAAAGTTCTGGCAGGCTAAGACAAAAAATAAGCAATAGCTTTTAATGGCAGTAGAACTCCTTGTGAAAGAATTCGTTAAAGGTAGCACTGCAACCTCATCTATTTCTGCCTCCAAGAGTAATGTGAACATTACTGCGTTCCGGTTTTGAATGATAAGGGTGCTGGTGAAATTACAGGCACATGTATTAGGAAGCTCCAGAAATAAAATTCCTCTCTCTGTTATTTCATTTATTAACATAAAGACTATTATGGAAACCAACCTTGAGACTCAGACATATTAACTAAAAATAACGGATAACTTATTTAAGTCGAACTTTTTCTCGACATGTTTCGAATTCGTGGCCATTTTTCGTGGCAAGTTTCCATTGAGTCACATCTTTTGATTAAGTACCACGAATTGGTTCCAAATGTGTCGAGCAAAAATTCGACTTAAATACGTAGGTTATCCGTTATTTTTAATCACGACTATTATGATTGTACAGTTTGCACAATAATATGGCACGGTAAAGTGAAATGAGAGGCACTGTCCTCTGAGACTCCAACAAACAGAATGCCGAACACTCAAGTATCACGAAGTAAGAATACCTTAGCTGTATAGTGGGAGTTTTTAGGTAGGGCTGCATTTTTGGCGCCACCAATGTATTGTGGCAATTAAAGTTGCTGTGACGCCATCAGTGAAACTTACTGGCGCTGCCAACCTAACAATATACATAAAAAGATATAACACTCACAGTGTAATAGCAGTAGTGGTCATTGTGAATCGTCCAGGGAAGTACTACCACCTTACCAATTTTTGCCGCTAAGCAGTAATGTCAGCATTACTGTGTTCCGGTTTTGAAGAGTGTAAAGGTGTTGGTGAAATTACAGGCACATAGGACTTGTCAACTTATGTCTCAGGGTGACTGGTGCAGTAGCAGTGCCCCAGATCTTTGCGTTTAACGCTCCCAGTGGCACTGCAACTGTTATGGACAGGCGTGTCACTAACGTCGCTTGATAGTATATTTAAAAAAAAAGTTTTTCGTTTGAAATTGTTGCATAGCTGCGCACTGTCAAGCAAAGACCATAAACATCTCTTATTCTTTTATTTCTAATAAAATTTTTCATTATTATTTTATTCTTCTAGATCCGCAAAGGTGAAGGTATTCAGATCCCCGTGTGGGCAATTCACCGCGATCCTCAATACTTCCCGAGGCCGGACAAGTTCGATCCTGAGCGGTTCTCTGAAGAGAACAAGTACAACATCCAGCCTTTCACTTATATGCCATTTGGACTTGGACCTAGAAATTGCATTGGTGAGATTTTTTCCTATTCATGAACATTTCGACAGCAAAAATTTGAAATGTCGTAAGGAACATTTTGTCGTAATGAAAAATGTTCTTTACCACACAAAATTCAGTACTTAATCCACGAAATTATTGTCCTTATATCAACGGTGGAAATTTGAAATGTCCTAAGAGGCATTTTGTCGTAAGGTCGTCTGTAAATTTTCACCATTCATTTTTGGCTAGCATTAACTACTCATACCTCCAGTTAAAGCTCTTGCTTAATTTACAGGTTCAAGATTTGCCCTATGTGAAGTGAAAGTAATGGCTTATCAAATCATAAACCTCTTTGAAATATCGCCATCGAACAGAACGACTATACCTCCCAAGCTGGATCCCTCTTCGCACAATATTCGCTTAAAGGGGGGTCATTGGATCCGATTTAAGACTCGGAAATAGCCGTAAATAAAAATTGCCAGAAACCAGAACTCTACGCGAACGAAGCAACATGGTGTTCGTGTAAAAATAACAATCATAGTGTTGGGCTTAAATAATTTATAAGTTTTTATTAAAAAAACCCGAACTCAAAAATGTGCTAATCCGTTTTCGCTGTGTTTTACTTTCGTTGGAATTACATCTATGTATTAAGTGTTAACGGAAAGTGGGTCAAATTCAATAAACTAGATTCAGCTTCATTCCAACAAAAAAAAAACCTTGAAATCGGTTCACGAATGTCGGAGTAATCGTGTAACACACCGCATAAAAAATACAGACAAATTGAAAACCTTCCCCTTTTTTGAAGACGTTTAAAAATTAAGTTCGTATTTAGAATCTGTGCTGTGCTTTTGTATGTACTCGACATGTAAAATGTACGACACGTAGTTTTCTTATTTCGCGCAGTACATACCTTAGAGATGTGCGCTCCGCCGCCACATCCCTAACAATTTTTTAATGCCGCCTGACGATTCTTTTAATTTTATTTTGTTAATTACAAACTTTCGTACCATTAAAATCTTCTCTCTACTCTTCTTATTAATCTAATCTAATTATACTAGATTTAAATTAAGATCGTTTTTTATTTGTATTAGTTTTGTAATGATACTATTAACTACATACATGCTAAAGGTCAATACAAACTGAAAAAAGGTTGAAAATGAATACAAAGGTTGATTTAAACAATGTATTACTGTTTTTTTAAACACCTGATGCTCACGCGTGTACGTGTAGTTTGTTGTGTAAACATAACCTTTATAATTAGTTCAATGCTTATTTTTACTTTAGTTCATTTTCGGTATAACGTAGTGAGGAAAAAGGGTTTTGGTTTTGTTAATACTAGATGGCGTTAGTAACGCTTTTTGAAGTGTATGAATCGCGTTGATAAGATTTTACCGCGCATTGTATTTACAGCATAAAGGTTTTGTTAGTTTTCGTGGTCAATTGATAAACGTGGAAATACCAGTGAACATCAGTGGAGTGTAAGGACTTTTAGGATCCAAGACTACGCCTGAAAAATAATCCGCCGCGCGCCATTGGAAAAAGAGCAATAGACGTCGCTTCCAACGATTTTACGATCGGTGCACATCTCTACTCGCTTACACACATTTAAATATTCATAATATTATTTTTTTTTAATTTATTAAGGCTTTGGCAAAGCCATCTGCCTAAACATGAAGTTTAAATATGTTTCTGTAAATATGGCCGCCACAAAGAGGATAGGCAATTTGAGGCGGCGTGCTTGGATTATGATAGATAGATAGATAGATAGATAGATAAAACGTTTATTGTCTTGCATCACACACACAACAATATAATAGAGTAAATTGATTAAGAGACACACAGAAATCAAAATTAAAACGAAAAAAAAGCATAAAAACATAATATTAACCTAATTATCAACAGCTGTGTGTGTGTGCTAAAGCAAGCCAAATAGGTCGTGGCTCAGTGCAAAATTTGCTCACGAGCAAGGCACTGATTTTCAGCCACCACCTTCGAGGGTAGCGCGTTGCGGTGCATCAAAAACAAAAACATTGTGAGGTGAATGTAGCGTGCATATGTTAGTATCACGTGAGAATTATGTACATTATAAAATATAAAAAAAAAAATAGTAACTGTAAAAAATAAAAAAATAAAAATTTGAAATATAGTAATACAAATTCATAATTGGTATAATTAAAATAAAATAATAATAATAATCAGTACTTAATATCGATGAAAGCCATTGTAACATAAAATGATAATAAATGTCTAAGAAGCAAGGGGACTTCATTCTAGAAGCTTCCGCTATGTAAAGCGTTTAGGAATACCCAGTTTTTGCCTATCAAAAATAAATTCCCTCAAATGTTTTTTAAACGTAAACTTAGTTTTAAGGAGTCTAAGCGGGGGTGGAATATTATTCCAACATTTCGTTGCTTGATAGCGGAAGCTTCCAGTAAAGGCCACAGTGCGATGAATTTGTCCCGCCAACAGAGGTCTCACGGTTCTAATAGAAAATTTTTCGTGAAAAGTGGAGAATTTTAACTTTCCATACAAGTACTCTGGTTTTTGGAACTTTATCACACCAAACAGCATACACGCGAGATGTAGATGTCTTCGCGAGTCCATATTTAACATGTTTGCATTGTTTAAATATGGCGTGATGCGGCTGCGAGGTGGGATTTTGAAGCAAAATCGACAACAAGCATTTTGTACACGTTGAATCAGGTGTTGTGTTTTACTCAACAAACGAGGACCGTAAAGTATATCTCCGTAATTAAGTTTGGAAAGGATCAGAGATTCGCAGATGGTAATACGAGCATGCTCTTGCTCACTTAAATAATTACGTATTTTGTATAATATTTTAAGACGATAAAAGCAGTTCCTAACTTGATCTAGTACGTGACTTTCAAAACGTAATTGACCATCAAGTGTAATGCCAAGATTTTTTGCCTCTGTTACTCGAGCCACATCACTACCCGCGATCTCGATATGTGGATCTCTGTCTACGATGTTGCTGATTTGCTTTTTGCTACCAAATACAATGAACTTGGACTTCATCGGGTTTAGAATTAGTGCATTACGAGCAGACCACTCAGCAACTCTCTCAAGGTCATCGTTCATACGCGTCTGCGCTTCGCATAAATTATTAGGAATCACTGATATAACTGATACAACTGAACGTCATCTGCATAACAATGATACCTACAATGCTTTATAACTCTAGGCAAATCAGCACTGTAAATGACGAACAGTAGCGGTCCCAGTAATGAACCTTGTGGCACTCCACGCTGTACCTGAAGAAAATCCGAGACCACATTGGAGCCGTCACTCACAGACAATTTGACTGCCTGCGAACGAGCACAAAAGTAACTCGCAAACCATTGTACTGCAGAACCATTCAAGCCGTAATAGGTCAATTTTGCAAGAAGCAGAGAAATATTGATACTGTCGAAAGCACGGGAGAAATCTAGCAGCGTCAATATAGTACCACGACCAGAGTCCTGTTCAGCGAGAATGTTGTCCGTCACATCCAACAAGGCCGTAATAGTGCCTCTGCCCTTACGAAATTCCGACTGAAGAACAGGAAGAACATTATTAGCTTCAACGAATTTAACTAGCTGAGAATAAACTGCCTTTTCAAGGATCTTTGACAGGAATGGCAAGATGCTTATGGGTCTCAGATCTTTAAGTTCGGTAGGATTATTGACCTTAGGAAGTGGCGTGACCAGCGCTTGCTTCCGCTGGCTAGGGACGGTACCCGTCGTGATTGATCTATTTATTATATTCGTAATAACACCTAAAGTACGAGGAAGGGTAAGCAAGATCATCTCCCTACTAATACAATCCGACCCAACAGCATTGGACTTTACACTTAAAATGTACGTAGCCACTGCAGCTTCCGTGACTGTATCCAATTTAAACAACGCCTCACCAAATCTGTCCCTCGAAAACATCTCGAACTCCGACATAGGAACTTCACTGGAACCAGGCAAATTTAGGAAGTATGCGTTAATAACGTCAGGATCGCCAAAACGTTCTGGAAGGTGATCGGTTCTACTAGGATCCACTAGAATTTTTTGTTTTAAATTCTTCCAGAACATTTTACTGCTGCAGTCCTGTGAGTTTATCAAACGATCAAAGTAGGCAGATTTCTTAGCGGAGATACTTGACACAACCAAATTTTTGAGATCCTTGTAATACCGTTTATGAACATCAGACTTAGTGCGGCGATAGTTATCAAAGGCTTTATTACGCAGGTTCATCATTTGTCTGATTGTGTCGGTAATCCAAGGTAAAGACTTATTGTGTTTTATTTTGATGGATTTGACCGGAGCATGAAAGTTAAAAAGAGACAAGACCAAATAATTAAATCCGTCAACCATACTATCCACAGTGCGAGCTGCACAGATGGACTCCCAGTCAATCAATTCTAAATCAGAGTTGAAATTATTGATGTCTAATACTAGAGAGAGGTCGGTAAGTAACGGACTTCGGGGGTGTTTTACTTTTCTTCACTAACAGATTTACAGTGATCATTGCATGACCGAACGAGCCCGTAATATTAGAAACAGTTACTTCCCGAACCTGTAAGTTTGTGCAAACAAGATCTATGAGAGTTTCAGTACCGGTTGAGAAGTGTGTGGCACCATTGACTACTTGCTGAAGCCCCATGCAACTGAAAAATTGAATTAATTTTATTGTGTTACTATGTGACTGATCAAGCATATTTATATTAAAATCCCCCAACAAAACTACATTGTCATATTTCGAAAAGTATACAAGTGTGTCCGTTAACGCATCAATAAACTTATCAATATTGACCCAATGTGGTCTATAGGCAGTTCCAATAACAATTGACTCGGGATTCCTTAAAACGGGCCGATACAGGTATTTTAGTTCGAGATTCGTATAATTTCGCGTTTTAATCTTCGATTAAGGCACAACAGCACTATCCTATTCCACTTTAAACTAGATTTCACAAAATAATTGAAAGTCAAAATAAAAACGACACTTTTCCCTCCAAAAGGTCCAGAGCGAATCTTCATAATATTATTTCATAATATTTCAGTGTGACCATAATTTAATAAATACATTTTTTAAAATTAATTCCATTCATCATACGATTCTACGAATTTTTACAAACCTTGTTGATTCTGTACACATAACTATAATGAGTTTAAAAAAAGAACGTCACATTTTTGGTAATTAAAATATCAATTAGGACGCTACTCAAACGCTACACTGTCTCCTGATTTTTTGTTTTGTAACGAATGTTTGTCTTTCGTCTAAATATATGAAGAGGCTGTATGGTGGAACCTTTGCCTACCCTAATAACTGGGTTAAAATTTATTAAAACAAAAGTTGCGTTTGTTGTCATGGATTGTTAACAGAATATACATTAAATATTGGTTGTGTTTCACAATTTTATTTATTTGTAGAAAATCTTTACATAATTAGATCTTAAAATCTCGTGTACTCGAATTTAAGAACCTTCATTATGCGACGATTATATAAAATACAATTTAAATATCATTCATACATTTATGTCTCAAAATAAACTATAATTGGACCTTTAACTAAGTACATTCAAACATTTACATATATTAATAAATAAAATTGCTTAAGAAATAGGTAAGATGGTAGCACTTCCCTGGAAAAACTTTTTTCCAAGGAGCTCTCTATAACGTCCTGCTTTTTATTATTTAAAAAGAAAAAATATAGAAGCATTGATCTTAAATAAATATACGTAATGAAATGAGGTTTATTTGCATTGAATAGGTTATTACAGAATGGTAGTTATTACATTTGAGTTCATACGTGGGGCGCACTATAAGTTTCCAGAATGAATAAGAAAAAAATACTAAAAATGGTCAGAAATGAATTTATTGTTTCTCAAAATATTCTCCGTTAGCGTTAATACACTTTTTCGTACGAATGAACCAATTTTGAAAATATTTATGCCACTCTTCCGTGACAATCTCTGAAACATATTTTTCATACTGTTCGACAGCCTCTTCAGGTGATGAAAATCGTTGACCACGTAACTGGTTCTTAATTTTTGGAAATAAATAAAAGTCACAGGGTGCCAGGTTGGGACTGTATGCGGGATGGCTCATAAGATCAACGTTGTTCACCTTCAAAAATTCATTTGTCTGTCTGACCGTGTGAGAACTGGCATTATCGTGGTGCAAGATGATACGGCGTTTACGGTTATTTTTATGGAGTTTGTCAATAACTTCCGGCAAATAAATGGTCGAGTACCAATCCTTATTCACGGTACAACAATTTTCTAAACCAACAGTAGCCACGTGTCCAGTTTTATTTAAAAAAGAAGCAATCATCCGCTTAGAGGCCTTGCCATTAGGGTCGTATTTCCAGTGCTTGAAATCATACTCAAATCTGCTCAAATCCTGACTTGAGCATTGAGTAGAGTTCTGGAATACGACCCTTAAAGTCGCAGAAAATCATACTATGAAAATTTTCACAAGTTAAATCCATGGTGATGTAGACAACCAATTTCTAAAATGACGCCATAATATAAAAACAAGTAACAGTCAGATGAAATAAACTGTATTCTACAGCGAAAGAGTTCCGTTTTCAAATGTTATAATTACTCTTTAAATATTGTTTATGTAAGTGGCCAGTTCCGGAAACTTATAGTGCGCCCTATGTATAATCAGCCATTATACAAAAGCATGCAAAATTTAATCTTCTAAGTAATCATTTACACTATAATATCCTTTTTTAACTATGTATAATTGTATACAAAAAGTTCAGTTGTCATTCTTTTAAATGTCAGATTTTTTATTTCAATTGGTAGTCTACTAAAAATTTAAAATTTTAAAATTTTTGAAGTGGTAGTTTTTGGGCATATTTTCAATGACAAGTCTGTCTGGGTTTATGTGTTATGTTTGCATTGGAAAGAATTCCTCGATTCCTAATAATTCATAAAAAAATGCAAAATCATTGCATCAGCACAACAACAAAAACGATAAATATAAGCACGCAACTTCAAAACAAACAACATAAAATACGTATTCATAATTACGGTGCAAAAAATGTTTATGATAGTCGAACAAACTCAGTGACTGTTATCATACTTGACATCACTGCTTCGCAATTTAAAGTAAGCGTTCTTTGTATGTGCTCATAGCAACAGAGTTATGTTGTTTTGACCAGAATACATTTCTTTTTATAACATCAAGTGACGGTATGAAGAAGTCGTGCGCCTGATGGTGAGCTACACTGTCATAAACATAAACAAGCCTGTCCATAACTGTTACAGTACCACTCAGAGAGTTAAGTCGCAGAGATCTAAGGGACATACGCTGACAAGTCTCATGTGCCTGTGATTTCTCCAGCACCCTTACTGTTCAAAACCGGAACGCAGTAATGCTCACATTACTGCATGCTGACAGGAGTAAGGTAGCAAGCAGTACTTCCTTAGACGAACTTTTGCACAAGGAGCTCTGCTGATGCTACACTAAATAACCGCTCACGCGATACATGCAGCCGTAGACTCATACCACATCTAGAGGTACCGGTGATGATTTTATACGGATTTATCGGATATCGAAGTTATAACAGGTAAAAGAACTACTAGTAACTACTCTAGCAAACCATAAAGTTTTTAATGCCTGGGTCTGTCATTTAAAAAAAAAACTTCAAAATACGTCACGTTATTGTTTGGGCTGGATTTGCGGTGTTTATTTATTGAAAAATACCGTAAGTAGCGTTTTTTAAGTTTACCCTGAATATAAATGTTTATAAACTATACTTTAAGGAGTAATTTCATGGTAAACGTTAGAACCACTCAAACGGAATATTATCATATTTATCCAAGTACACCAAAAATTTCATTAGTGCTTTTTAAGTGCAGGATTTGCGGTGTATTACTGCATTTTATTTGAGATGTTTTTGTTGGTAGTACGGAGGGTATTTATTTAGCAATGCAGAATAATAATTTTTATTTATAAAAACTTGTATTTAAACTGAATGCTTTTCTAATTTGCGAAACCAAAAAGGCGCCATTTTGCGGTAGGAGGAGCGCATCGCGTCAAAATTATTTATTGTCCTTTTCCACCTTAACAATATATTTCACAGGGTAATTAAACTAAGGTACATCGTAAATAAATTGCGTGGTGAAAGACTGGTGCCTAAACTATGTGGGACCTGGTATCCACCACCCCATTTCAATGATACAATATTATGATGTTGTTGAAATGAGGGTACATTGGCGTGATAATACGGAAAATACACTATTTATTTATTGTTTTGAGAAAAGTGGATGAAGGGCATGAGTGCGTGTGTGAACAAACATGGTTGGTATGAATGTAATAGTTTCTACTAAAGCTTTCACATTCTTTTGTGTTTCCCACTGAGCCTCCTTATAGTACCTGTTTTGTATACAATCCATGAAAGCGATCCTGGACATCGATCTTCCTTACTTTCTTCTTCCTATTGTATCGATGATATGTTACATTGAGATTTTGTTCAATGTGCTGCCATTTAGTGGCAATAGCTGAAAGACTGAGGCTCGTATTTCAGAACTCTACTCAATGCTCAAGTCAGGATTTGAACAGACTTGAGTATGATTTCAAGCACTGGAAATACGACCCTAATGCCATTGAGTATGATTTCGAGTGTTTTAAACCATACTCAAATCCTGACTTGAGCATTGAGTAGAGTTCTGGAATACGACCCTAAGACAACGAAAGATCAAGACCTGCAAAATTTTGTTTTTTTTCTGAAGCCCTATAGTTATGAAATTCAAAAAAATAAAAAAACATTTATCCCAAAAATTTGAAAATTGCTCAACTTTGCGCCGCCCGTTGTCTCATCAGTCGCCATCGGGCGCCTGTCGACGACGGATTTTTGTCGATTTTCTCCGCCTGTTCTTAATTTATTCATATTAATTGTCAACGCGCGTTTTGCGGGACGTGAGAGGCGGTCCCCCACACCTCACTTCGTAAAATGTAGGCTCGTGTTGAAATACCTAGCCTTAAGAGTCGATACTACGTCAGCTCGAATTTAAACTTTTCCCGTACTTAATACGGTTCATTTTGCTAGGGTCGAGTGGCAGAGACACTAGCTTTATTTCAGAATTTATTTTTTTACACACGAAATGGTACACACTTCAAAAATGTATATCATATAATACGTGTTCTATTTAGTTCAGTTGATATAAAAAAAATCATTTTTATATGTAAAGTATTAAGCGGTTTTCTTGTAAAATGTCTTGGTAAGTTTGTGTGTTTTGAGTGTG